CGCGAAACATTTCATATCCATTTTCATTCAGAAGAATGAAAACTAAGATGCAAATGTTTCACGGTGTTGATGGTACTCGCCTAGACTCTAATCGACAAAATTACCATTAATATGTAAAGCAATTATAGATGATATGTCATTAATACAGCATGTTACTGCGCTATAGCCAACAGAATAAACAGTTTTAACACTTCGAGGAAACTCACATGCACGTACAAAATAAACGGAATAGTAGAAAACGCTAAGGTTCATAGGAGGAAAAAGGCTTTTGAGCAGTTGAGGAAGACTACGAAAAGAACTCGATCAAAATCTGCTTCATACCTTCTGGCAGCTGTGGGCACATGTGCACGACCACGGCTGTCGAAGACGCACATAACGATGACCAGGACACCGACCAGCAGCGGCATCGATACATTCTTAAAGGAGGGGCCATATAATGCAATTTCATTGTAAAACGTCAGAGAAGGTTTTACAGGAGCGATCAGACAGCGGGACATCACACTTGAAAATTGGAACATCTCTTCACTCAGAGAGAAACAGCATAACGTAGTTGCTGAAACCGCAAAGCACCGACAGGACATAGATGAACTCAAAGAAACGCCAGCGCTTTGCAATACTGAACCTTGGCAGAAGGAAGGTATTCTATCCAGGTGTCGAGACATGCGTTCATGCCGGAGTTGCAGTACTTGAAGCAACCTAGCTCCCAGAATCACTGAATGGAAGCCTGCCAACAGAACTGTGGCAATCCTACGAATGAAGCTACAACAGACTAAAACGCTGACCATGTTACAGGTCTACGGGCCCAATTTGGAGGGAGAATCTGTGTCCCTCCTTCAGGAAGTGGAGTGTGCTCCGTAGGAAGTGGAGACTAGGGAATTCTTCATTCTAATGGGCGATTTTAGTGCGCATGTAGGAGCAGACCCTGAAAAGTGGAAAGGAGTGATTAGAAAGAAGGACCCTTGTGACCTCAACAATAACGGCATGAAGTTGTTGCAGTTTTGTGCAATCGATGGACTCTGCATTATTAACTCTTTCTTCGTGCATCGAAGAGTGCATCAGTATACTTGGAACAGGAAAGCTTGTGCACAGAACTCGATTATCGATTTCATAATGGTATCGTCTGACTTAAGACGTTCAGTAAAGGATGTTCGCGTTAAGAGAGGGGCAGAGCTATCAACCGATCACCATCGTGTTGTTGGCAAGCTGCGCTGTAAGAAACGGAGTGCTGAAGATCTGGAGGCAAATGCAATCAGAGAATCAAATAGGAAACAATATCTTCGGCGGATACGAGAGCGAAACGTACAAACAACATCGCACAATGGTTTGAACAGATACCGGTGATGACCACCGATGTGGATACCTAGTGGCAGCTCTTTAAGAGTGGCTTACTCGTGGATGCAGCTGAATGGTGCGAATTCAAACGGGTTGGTCGGCCACCTTGGAGTCGGAAATGTACTTTCTGATGGACAAAAAAGGTTCAACTGAATGTCAAAAAGAAGGCTTCATTCAAGAAATTGCGTGCAAGCAAACAGAGATAAACTCGAAGAACTTTACGAAGAAGATCGCAAAATGGCAGCAAAATCAATGTAAAAAGCAAAAGCTGATTCCTCAGAAAAGTTCGGTGAGGTGTTGGAGTCGAATATCCAGACGGCCAACAAGAAATTCTGGCAGACAATCCGCCGGCTCCGAAGTGAAAAGAAGGGCATTCAAAGAGTCTGAAAGGACAAGTCTGGACACCCTCTTACTGACGATAAGGAGACAATGAGAGTATTTCGAGCAACTGAAAAAAGACTAGCCTGTACAGCAACAAGGAACGGACATTACTATTTCTGCACATGAAATCACAAAATGCGTGAAAAGCGGGAAAGCCACTGAAACTGATGAAATCCATTCTGAAATGCTCAAAGCAATAGGAGAACAATGTATATGGTGGTTTACACTTGTATGTCAAACTCCAATGACAGCGAGGAAGGAACCAGCGGTCTGGAGAACGGGAGTTGCTGTACCTCTGTTTAAGAAGAGAGACCACCGGGAGTGTTTCAATTATTGGGACATTACCTTATTGAGCATTCATGGAAAATCGAGAAGGTGATAGAAAGTAGGTGTCGCGGAATAAATGACTTAAGAAGAGCAGTGTGGCTTCCGGCCCGGTCGAAGCACCTCTGACCATGTATATGCCCTGCGCCAGATTGTTGAGAAATCATGGGAGTTCGCCCATCGGTGAACACATGGCTTGTTGACCTGGAGAAAGCTTATGACCGGATACCGCGGAACAATATGTGAGAATGCCCGCGAACATATGGGACCGATGGCTAGTTGCTACGGGCAATCGAAAAATTGTATACTAATAGCAGGTTCTGCGTAAAAGTAAAGCGTTAAGTCGAGACCATGTTGGCAACTGTCTCCGCCAAGGCTGCGTTCTGCCCCGTATCATGTTGGTGTTGTGCTTGGATAGAGTAGTCAAGTGCAGCAAGGCAATGAATGTATCGGTGTAGGAGATGTGGTACGAGAAGGTTGCCTCTTGCAGATGATCTCATTTGTTTTCATTTTAAGAAGGCGATCTTCAGCGGTCTTTAGTACGGTTTGCAGCCGAATGCAAATGGCATGCGTTTGAACGTATATAAAACGAAAACGCCGAACTTTCTCGTTTACCTGTTCGCTGAGATATCACAGGGTCATGTTTACCGATGACGGAAAATGGGAGATAAAGATGGACCGGTGAACTGGGCTGGACAGCGTGAACTAGCCAGAACTACTGTGATCAAGGCAGAGATGTGTCCAAAGACAAGGCTCTTTGTGTTTAAGTTGACCTTAATCTCCATGTTCACCTTAGACTATGTGCAGGTTATCATTTGCACGCTGGGCAACTTATGAAAAACTTCAATTTATAGTTG